AGGCACTTACATCAAACCAAAAAGAAAGAAAACAGAGGACAAAAAAAATAGAAGGGGAAGAGCTGTTTGCATAAATTCGTGAAAAAGAAATTAGTCCATTACAAAGAAAATAAATAGTTTGAATGGCCTAGCAGCTATTACAAGGGGCAAGATTCATACAGCATCACTGCCTTGAAGGGGGTCATTGGAAGGGTCCTTGGAAGGGTCCTGGGAGGCATTCTCGACAGTTCTCTGAACTCTGGAATGGCCGGTATCAGCAACGTCCTCCTCGGTTTCCTCATGGGCGTCCTCGAGCTCGATACCCATGTATTCATCGGGTACCTCGGGTATAGGATCTTCCTCACTTGGACCCTTGGCCTGGACAGCAGGAACGTCGCCCGGAAACGAGGCAATCTCCGCAGGGGAACTCATTTTCGCTATGGTGCCAGTCAAAGCTCCCCACAGAGGAAGCTGCTCGAGGCTCAACCTTGTCAAGACCTTTACCTTGGCTTCGTACATGGTTTTCTTCGGGTCCTTCATCAGGAGCTACTTGAACCATTTAGCCTTAATTGGCCTGTCCTGGTCGAGCATCTTCAACCCTGCCACGCCAACTCGGTGCGCACCACACTTGGTGGCAACCAAGTTCATCTCCTCGAGGGCTACCACCATCCCTCCTGTACACATCATTTTGCTCATGAAGGCAGTACACCACTGATGTAGTTCCTCCTTGGAGATGTGCAGGCTAGCGAACGATCTCATCTTCTCCTCAAGCTCATCATATTTAGCCTGCACCTCGACGATCTCAGCCTCCTTAACTTGAACTTGGCGTGCTTTCTCCTCATCCCTTTTCGCCCGAGCTGTAGCCAGATCTTCTCGAAGTTTCCTTAATTGCACCAGGTAGGCCATCGAGGCCGCACTTATCTGCACCAACATTGCATATTAAGAGCATATAGATATACATATGCATTTGCAGCATAACCCTGAAAATCACTTACCAGTCTCAAACTGTCAGCCTCATTTAGCTGAGCAGCGAACTCCTCGAGAACAGGACATTCGATTGACGGTGGATTGCTAAAAGTATGGACCGCCACAGACGAGCCCCCCCCTCAAACAGCTGAGGGGGCAAGATTATCGCTTCTCCCTAGAGGGGGCCCTTGCCCTTTTCGGCCGCAGGGGGAACTATGCTTGGCCCCGCTTTCGGCACCAGCTTCTGAACAGACTCAGTGGCAAGGGGCACCGTCTCGATACCCGGCTGGGTGGTTTCCTTCGAGGGCGCATCCATTTTGGCCTTCTTGGATTTTGCCCTATCGCTCACCTTCACGATCCTCTTCTTCTTTTTCTTCTAAGGGGCAGCAGTGATAGTAACGTCCTCATCTGAATTCACAATGATAAAAGGATCTTCGTCACCAAATAATCGAGACCCAGCATTGCTCGACGACATGACCTAACAACAAAGAAAAAGAAAAAAGAAAATGATTAGTACCTTGACTTTCTTCAACAGAAATTTCAAGAGGAATTTTGGTTGCTCCCTCGACGTTGACCGTGTCACCTTCCTTCACATATACAGGGGGCACATAATACTGTATGTCATTCCATTTAACGACCCTTGAATATTTTAGAATTTTCTCAACATCTGCCTGGAGCTCCTCGATGCATTCTTCATCCTCTTGGGTCCATTCATCCTTTATGTCTCCGAGACCCTCTGCCTCTCGGAGATTCCATGGCAAGCAATAACTCGAGGGAGCCTTTACAAACAAAAAGTCTGATTTCCATTTCGGGGAACCGCCATACGCCTCGACCATCTTCTTCACGCCGGCTCTGAGGCACTTTTTTACGATATACCAATCCTGGAACGAGGTCGAGGCCACAACTACTTGGAAAAAAATACCTCCACAATACCAATCGAGGTATTACTTTTACATGTTGGCATACTCTCGCAAACCTCAGTACAAATGTAATTAAATTTGGGGTAAAACGAGCGAGAGGAGTCCTATAGTATTGCACAATCTCCTCAAACAGGGGGTAGAGGGGAAATCTAAGCCCTAGATGCATGAATCGGTCATACACGGTAATTCTTCCCCTTGGAGGAGAGTTAGCTCTCTCATTTCCTAATAGGGCTCTCGCCTCTAGTGCAGAAGGGAGGTCATAATTGGATCTAAGGTTTTCCACCTTATCAACTGAATCTATGGTGGATACAAAGTCCAAGACAGTTTTTCCTTTGGAATCCCTAACCATAATTCCGGCAAGAACCTACTCTGGATACAACAGAAAAGGACTAAAACTTGGAACAAATCGGAGATTCAGATCTAGAAACTTACTATGGAAGGAGGACGTGACCACTCGCCTTTCAAATTATAACTTCCTAGTGTTGTTCAGAAGCTCCAATTAGCAACTCCCCTGGAAACAGTGTCGCTGGGGCAATGTCTCAGGCGAAAGCTTGAAAATTCCGGCTGGAAAAAGGGGTTAGAATGCTCTGGTAAAGAAAAACTTTTTAAAGGACTGAAAGGCTTTAGCAGAAGAGAAGATTTCGAGTTATTTGCAAAGAAGGAAAATGACTAAGTGCAAAAGGGGCGGTAGAACTTTCTCCTTAAAAACGAAATTTATTCTCCCACGTTTCTCTAATTATGGACCACGATATGACAGTTATTGCGGATTTCAAGGAAGTAATGATGTTGAGGCTGCCGTTTGAGGAGCGTGTCCACTAATAACGCACAGTTGAAAATCTGGGCGGGATTGGGAAGCGGGTCGTCTTCCCGGGTCAAGACCTGACCCGCCAGTTGCTCTCGATCTTCTAAGGTCGAGGGTTGTGCGTTCGCATCGAGGTTGTGTGGCATGTGGCTCGATAATTAACCGAACGAGGGTAGTCTATCCACTCTCGGGTGTGTCCCCGGTAATACTTATTTTGTGCCAAGCGTTGTTTGTTTTTACGTCACTAACACATGGCAGGGACACTTGATGAGTCCATATCCATCACCGAGACTGGACCGGCCCGCCAACGGTAGAAAGAGTCCAACTAGGACTCTTAGAGCGGTGTAAGCTCCTGAAACCTAGTTGGATTCGGAAATATTCCAGATAATCTCATACCTATAAATAGGATAGCTCATACCACAATACATGTACGCAATCCATAACCAAACAAACTACCTACCTAAACTTTCTAGCAACCCTTTTACTGACTTAAGCATCGAAGTGTCTACCCTCGGGAGACCCCGAGACCCTGTTTTGCAGGAAACCCTAACCGGAGTTCCACCACTAAACCGGCGACGCATATCCAAGCATCGTCATCCATCGTAACCCAACACTTTCCTAAACCAGATTGCTGATCAGAACCTAATTGCATCTTCTCCAATAACCTGCCAACCTCATTTGCGCAGGTATCTGATGAGATGCCGCATCAATTTCTTCAATTTTGTGTTCTGGAATTGGATCAATCCCTTCAAGACAAAGCAAATCATATCAATTCTCAGGAACCTCAATTTTCTACTATATGATTTCTTCATCACCTGCTAAGGCTTCTTCTTCTCCCAAGAGCTTTCCGAACTCAGAATGCGAAAGCATGCGAAAGCCAAATTTATCAAAGAGTTAAAAGGAATTCTTTCATTCTTAAAACTTCTTCAAGCGCAATGCCGAATTTGAAGCAGAATTCTTCAAACTCTTACTGGGCTGCACCGTATTGATATTATTAAGCTAAAAAGGATGGGAAAAACAAAACCCTGAAAAAAAAAAACAAAAAACAAACGTGCAATTCAGAACTAATTCACATTAGCGGGAGGCAGAAGAGTTTACCAACTTACTGTTAGTCAATATACTAAGCCTTTGAATCTAGATCAATGTTAACAGTCAATTTCATTTTGAATACATATTTTTGGTGTTTTTCTGAAGAAAGAAAGAAAAAAAAAACAAAAATAAAAGTATTTTGGATGCAGAAGATTCATTAAACTCTTTTTTTCATTTTTATGTCTCACGATAAGTACTTTTGACCATACAGTTAGAATCCTTGTTTTACCAGTCGCAATTTTTAAGGGTGAAGTTTTAATTTCTATTAGGAAGTAAATTTTTAAGTGTGGTTTCACTCTAGGGTAACTCTGAGTTTTGTAGAGTTAGTAACCTACTAGTATAATTTTATTAGGTTTTCCTTGGATCCACCTTATATTACAATTATACAATCATTTGTAAAAACGCCTTGGACAGTAGAGACTAGAGAGACAGAGACGGCTGGAAATTCTTTCACTTCAGAATTCCTACTGATCGGTAAGATTCACTTATTTTATTACTACGAATTCTTGTGCTTTGTTTATTGATACAGAATTTTTCCAAGTAATTAACTGTAACTTGATTTATGCGTGTTTCAATTGCATTATTTTGTTGTTGTGTTGAGGATCAGTTGATTGAATTTCTTCAACTCTGATATGTGCTATGGAGTATGAATTTAGTTAATTCAAATTAGCAAATTCCTATTTTGATCACTTCAGTTTTAAACAGGAAAAAGTTTAGAGCTAACCAATTCTCTGTTGAGACAATTGCAAGCGAAGTTGTACTAGAAAATTTTTATTCTAAGTAGGTTCGTTCAATTTTTGTTAGTTTGACACCCAACCATAGGTTAAAATAGAATTTTGGAACCAAAGAGAAATAAAAACTCTTTGAAGAAATGGTGATGTGTAGCCTCAAATTATTAAGTTTGATATATACTACTCCTGCCATCCAAAATTGTCCCTTTAAATAATACAGTCACTATCTAAAACAAATAAAAATTGCAAATTATAATGAAGACTATTTTCTTAATACAGAATGAACACTATTTATTTATCTATTTATTGGAATCCGTGTGTATAAGTGGAGTGATGTCAATTGATGTACATTTACGTAGTGTCTCGCTTGTATTAATTGGTCTATCAACAGACAACGAATTAAAGCTTTATCAATCGATACATTTAGAATACTACTTGTTGAGTGTTGAATTTCTCTGACAGTGTTCTTTTCTTCTGATTTGGCTGTAGCAATTACAATTATAATGAGTCATAATGGCAAGAAACCAGCGATTGGAATCGACCTGGGGACGACGTACTCGTGTGTCGGGCACTAGGGTTGAGATCATAACAAATGACCAAGGCAACAGAACTACCCGGTCTTATGTAGCTTTTACCGATGAAGAGCGTCTTGTTGGCGATGCAGCTTTCAACCAAGTTGGGCTGAATCCCGTCAACACTGTCTTTGGTAACTGACATTGACATTACTTTAATCATCTATTGATCCAAAGTGTTAACTGTGATCTTATTTTCTCTCTTAATCTTTTAGGTTTGTTTTTGCTGTTGTTCTGTTTTGGTATTAACTTTAGTATGAAGTGATACTCCATTCCCCAGAAAAAAGTCGTGTTTGCTGAACTAAAATATAAGACTCTAATTCAAAGAGATGGAGATTAACAGACATTGTTCTTCCTTCTAGTAGGTTCCTTTATTTTATTTTTTTTTATAATTTGACACCCAATAATCGGTTAAAACAAAATTTCGGAATCGAAGACAAATAAAAACTCCTTGATGAAAGAATGGTGCGGTTTAAACTTTGAGTTTAAAAGTGTTTTAGAATACTACTTATCATGTTCTTGGGATGTGTATGTATAAGTGGTGTAATGCTAATTGATGCACATCTGTAGTTAAATTTTCGGACAACAGACAATGAAGCTTTTTATCAGTCGAATTGACTTTCCATTTAGAACTTTTCTTCTTTGAGGTGGAATTTTTCTGACAGTGTTGCCTTTGATTTTGCCGTAGGAACCACAATGAGTCATAATGGCGGAAAACCAGCGATCGGAATCGACCTGAGGACGACGTATTCGTGTGTAGGGTACTGTCAACACGACCGTGTTGAGATCATAACGAATGACCAAGGCAACAGAACCACTCGGTCTTATGTGACTTTCACTGATGAAGAGTGTCTCGTTGGCGATGCAGCTTTCAACCAAGTTGTGCTTAATCCCGTCAACACCGTCTTCGGTAACTTACCATTCACACTACTTTAATTGAGTTTAACATATATAAATGTATGGTGAAGCTGTTTGATATTCTTGAGGCTTCTGTCATCATCTCCTAAGATGAAAGTTGAGCCAAAGAGTAACTGTGATGTTTTTTTTTTTCTTGCTTTGGTTAATTCTCATTGTTTTTCTGTTTGGTGTTAACTTTACCTTTATAGTATAAAGTCATATACTTCCTCCATCAACACAAACAAAAAGTCTTGTTTGTTGGACTTAAGACATAAGAATCTAATTCTAGGAGATAGGGATTATAATGAAGTGCATCACAGTATGTGGAATGAATGAAAATGACTTGAGTAGAATATCAGATACAGATATTAGCTTTGCACTTGTTAAATAGGTGTGTAATGATACATTTTGATCTTGATGATTATAAGTTCCTAGATTTGCAGATGCAAAGAGATTGATTGGTAGGAAATACAGCGACGAGTCTGTTCAGAGTGACACCAAACTCTGGCCATTCAAAGTCATCCCCGATGATGAGGACAGCCCTACAATTGTAGTTACCTACAAAGGTGAGGAAAAACAATTTGCAGCAGAGGAAATTTCCGCCATGGTCTTAACAAAGATGAAGCAGATTGCCGAGGCGTACATTGGATTAACCGTGACAGATGCAGTCATCACTGTCCCTGCCTATTTCAATTATTTGCAACGCGCAACGTCGGATGCAGGAGAGATTGCGGGTATTAATTTGTTAAGTATCCTCGGCGAACCAACCGCAGCTGCCATTGCCTACAGTGTTGACAATCAGTTTAGCATCGCAAATAAGCGGAACCTTCTAATCTTTGATCTCGGGGGCGGTACCCTTGATGTTTCAGCTCTCACCGTTGAAAAGGGTCGGATTGAAGTCAAAGCTATTGCTGGTGATTCTCACCTTGGTGGGGAAGACTTTGACAATAGGTTGGTGAACCACTTCATCATGGAATTGAGATTGATTCATTGTTTGAAGGTATTGACTTCTCAGAACCAATTACCCGGGTCAAATTCGAGGAATTGAACTCAGATTTATTCATCAACTCCATAGAGGCAGTAGAGAAGTGTTTGGCGGACGCCCGGATGAGTAAGAATGAATGATGTGGTCTTGGTGGGTGGCTCGAGCAGGATTCCACGAGTTCAGCAAATGCTGCAAGATTTGCTAAATGGGAAGGAGCCTTGCAGAAACATCAACCCGGATGAAACTGTTGCTTACGGCGCAGCTGTTCAGGCCGCATTCTTGAGCGGCCAGTGCAATGCAAAGATTAGGAGCTTGTACTTGTGGAAGTTACCCCATTATCCCTAGGTTTTGAAAGGATAGGAGAGGCCATGGTTGTTGTGATTCCTAGGAATACCCCCGTCCCTACCCGAAAAACATCCACGATGACTACTGCATTGGACAACCAATCTTCTTTAAGTATTAAAGTGTTCGAAGGAGAGAGAGCCAGATCAACTGACAACAATCTGTTGGGTGAATTAGTGCTCACTGGCATTCAAATAGCCCCAAGGTTTGTCCCTAAAATCGAAGTCAGCTTTGATTTGCACACCAATGGCATTTTGAACGTCCATGCGCGGGATAAGATCACATTTGCAGAGAGCAGCATCAGCCTCAGAAGTGGAAGACTATTAAGAGTCGAAATAGAGAAGATGGTAGAGGAAGCCAACAAGTTCAAAGCCCGAGGACGAAAAACACAGGAACAAGTCGAGAGCAAGGTGGGATTTTGAGAGCTACTTCTGTCGGATGAGGGAGACATTGAACAATGATGAAACCATGTCTTTTACTGGCAGAAAGAAGGCTAAAGGTGCTATTACCAAGGCCTTTAAGTGGTTGGATAAATTAGATGCTGCCAAAAAGCTTGCTGAAGTTCATGAATATGAGGAGAAACGGAAGGAACTGGTTGATTCTCTCCCGAAATGAAGTTTGCTGAATACAGAAGCTAAGGCAAATGTCACTTCTACTTCTCTTTTGTAGACCATTGTGTTCAAAACAAACATTAGCCTTGGTCAAGTTCTTTGAACACAAAAGGAGAATGCATTAAAATTAAGACTGGAATGAAAGTCTGTTACAAACTTTAGCCCTATGATGAACTACTTCTAGTCTTCTTCTATCTACATTAGTTACAGTACAAGTCATACACATGGATTTAGTCCTACAAAGAAGGAGGCTCTGTAACAAAAAATAAATAAATAAATAAATAAATAATAAAAGCCGCCTTTTGTTTCCAAGGATGAAGTGAAAAGGGAGGCTTTACTGAGTTACATTTAGTCAAAATAAAGCCTTTGAATTTAGATCAATGTTAAGTTTAAAATTAGTAGCATAGTGAAGTTTGATTTTGAATATATACTAGTACTATGCCAAAACTTTTATTCGGATTAAATATAAATTTTAATAAACTTTATTATCAAAAAAATTACATACGAAACTAAAAATTGATGATTATTAGAGTTTCAAAACTATGAAGAGTACTAACAAAATTGATAGAAAAGGGAGAAAAAAAAGAATTAAAAGGTGCACAAAAATATGACAACATTTACACAACTTAATCATCATATTTAAAAGGCGGACATCACCTTTTGCCAGTTGTTATTGTTATTTTCCGAAAATTTTATCATTAATCTTTTGTTTGAAGGTGGATATCTGTGACAAAACGTTGAAAATACTCTTTGGCAGGGATGAAAGAAGCATCAACGTAGGAAATTTACCTCTTATTTACTCCCTTAGTCGATTTTTCTAATTGACTTTATGCAAACTTGAAGGTATTCTGATGGTATAAGATCTATTGGTGAATGCTCCCTAACCAGAAAGAAAATCAAAGGTATGCCAGGCAAAAGCCAAAGTTGAAAGCAACATCTACAATATGTGCACCCTGAATTTCTAATTGTCAAAATCTATTGAAGCTACAGATGTTCCTATTCTAACATTCCCATCTCCAGGATATCAGGAAAATAGGGAAAGAAAAAGAAAGCAAAAAAGAACTAATTAAGTTTGGTTTCCTTGAGCAAATGCTCAGACATGTCTGGTTAAAAAAACTACCAAGCTCAAAAGATGTCTGGTTAAAAAAATCATCAAACGAATCACACGTTACACCTAGCATACTATCTACTACTATACATACACCGGTAAGGGAAAAGAATGGGCCACAAACAAAACTATCATAGTGTGAACAGCACACCACAGTAAACTTGGAAGCAGCTTTTCAGTGGACAAGGCTGAGATCTTGGATGGTAGTGCAATGTCATTATTCAGGATGATGTTTATTATGGCGAATATCTGTTAAGCTCCTAGTTGAGATATTCTTTACAGGCAAGAAGAATCTGAGTGTCTTGTCAGCATTGAAATAAGAACCTGAGGCGTGTGCGAGAGTTCTGAAACAGAACCTGAGCAGGGGTGAAGAGGTAAAAGAAATACTCAATTAGCAGCCTGAAGTAAACTTAGCATAATGCACCTTATTGTGAAGCTGGTTCCAAATTTTCTGGTAAAGTTTCAGCAAGGTTTATTTGATCTGTGGGAGAAGAGATTTCATCTCTCCGTGGCAAGTCCAAGTCCATCTGATCACTTGCTTGAGGATCAGAATCCATTTGATCCTTCGTTTGTAGTGCACAACCATTCTGATCCAGTGTTGCGGGAGAAGAGGGAATTTCATCCCTTACTACCAGGGAAGTTTCATGCGGTAGATCAGATTTCACTTCTTCACTTGTAGGAATGTCACAGTTCATTTTATCTTCAGTATGCTGTGATGTTGAAGGTTCAGGTGTTTCCTCAACCACAGCTTCTTCACAAACTTCATATTCAGACAGAAGATCCATGAACTCATTCAGCAATCGTTGAACTTTTCTATTTGATGCCATGGCAGGAAGAATATCTTCCTTAAGGAGCTTGTGTTTTTCCATTCCCTGCATCGACCAGACAGCTTTAAGGATAACATATCAAACAAAACTAAAAACTCACCAAGATCACCAAAATACTGACGTCCAAAATATCAACATTGCTGAGACACTTGGATCCAAAAGGATAAAGGAAGAGAAAATTATAAACTTCAAAAAAATGCTATACAATACAGTCAATTGTTATCTTAATAATAATTCATAGCACATTTTATGGTTGTTAGGCTATGAAACTCTATTATAATACAAATACAAAGTAAGAAAAAATACATCAAGGGTTTTCAAATCGCACATTTATGGGAGACAAAAGATTTCATACTTTAGATATAACTCACTAGGATGTCAATAAAGGTAACTCATATTATACAACTCACTGAAACATCAATAAAAGATGTGTCTCCTACAACATCCTCATGCTTAAGAACTTTCCATGTTGGAACATAAGACAATGCCCAAACACGAAACACCTTAGGACACATAGCAAGAAAGGGAAGTAGAGGCCTCACAAGTATACAAGGATCCCATGATTTCACATCAGGTGATCTAGCTTGCTCCATTCCAGTTGGCGGTCCAAGGAAGCTCTCGCAAACCTCACGTAAACGTGATTCATCAGCTTCTCTGCATGAATCAGCAATGAACTTTGTAACTACAATTAATCCATACTGAATAGTAACCTACAAGCATCCAAGGAGCAACTAAAAGGCTAAAACATAACAACATAAAGGATTTAGGCAAACACGACTTAATTGGATTGTCCCTTTTCCAGCCATGCCAAAACCATAGTACACATCGCACATAGACCATAAGGTACACCACCTAGCCCCTTTGTAATAACCATTATTAACAGAAAGAGGCTGCTGGCTAAGGGTGTCGTCGTCCAATTATAACCTACCAACAGTACCGTCCAACAAGAAATTTACCTTCACAGCATCCATAAAACATCTATTTATTAAGCTGACATACTATTACGCAAGATTTGTGCACAACATAACCCCTACAATTTCTTCAGAACAGAAAAACTTAACTGAACATGAAAATGCATAAACATCAAACTTATATTGACTGCAATACACAAGCTATATCAATCCCTCTGAGCACATAGCAAAGAATTAAGAGATCCAGATTCCAAAGTCATACAGCAAAAACCAGAACAAGAAAGATTGCATACACAAACGCTACACCAGAAAAAGTCCTAGACAACAGCAAACCTTGTCAGGAAACGAATGTAGGACAAGAGGCATTGGCGGTATTCATTTGCTGACTTCAATGACAACGCAGAAGCTAGCTGAGTTTCTAAATGAGCACGTGTCTGAACTCCATCATCAGTCACCCTGTACCAGCATATTCAAAATCGAATGATCGAAAAAAGTCCTGTATTAGCTGCAAAGACCTCAGTATCAACATAACACAAGCCTGATACTACTCATGAATTTTAATTTTGGATCAGAGCTATGGAAGCGAGGCTCCTTTCAGAAAAGGCAACATACCTGCTCCATCCTGGTTTCCGGGCAAGAAACTTCCTCACATCCACCTGCAAGGCAGCCAGCTCGCCACCATGTGCAGCACTCGAATTCCAGGAGCTCGCGAAATTTGATGCAGGAAAGCAATCATCAGCAACTCTCAGCCAACACATGAGACTGGTATCAAATAGATAAGCATGTCGTGTAGCCAAAACAACAAGCGGGGACCCAGATTTTGATAACTTTGCAGATATCACTTTGATTGCCCCTGGAATCAGATGCAAAAGGAAAAAAAAAAAAAAAACTCAATTAATACAGCATAAGGCTGCCATAATAGATGTATAAGAATTAAAGAGCACAGAAAATACCAAAATACAACTACTAGAACAAACAAAACATCATTGCGCAACAAAGAAAACGTTAAACCGCCGCACCTGCATCTTTAGTATTTGACTTGAGATCGGATGCAACTAGGGAGGTCAATGAATCATTTAAAATACATTTCCTTTCAAACAAATCCCACACATGTAAGGATCCCTTTCGTGTGACCAGCAGCAACTTCCAAGCATCATCACAATCAATAAAAACTGCTGCAGAACCCATCATCATCATTGGCATGGCTCGTCTTCCACATTTGGTGTATATCTACAGTTCAAAAAATAAAATTAGTCAAAAAAATAAAATATGTAGGGAAAGAACAAGTTGGGTTCAAACATCATTCAACACTATAACAAAATCCGTTGTTAGACATTGCTATCCTTATGTCAGACAATCAATGAGAGAAAGCAAAGTAACAAAAGAACGCTTGACACTCCATCAGGTGGAAAGTTGAAAGCAAGCTACCATTACAAAAATAAGCAAAAGGTGAAAACGGAGGGAAGAGATCCAATACGAAAAAGAGATTCCAGTTTGTTTAAGATACCAAACAAAAAAAGAAAGATGAGAAAGCGAGCCTTTTTAGGAGGTGGAAAGTTGAAACTAAGCTACCATTACAAAATAAGCAAAAGGTGAAAGCAGCATGAAGAGATCCAATACGAAAAAGAGATTCCAGTTTGTTTAAGATACCAAAAAAAAAGGGGGGAGATGAGAAAGTGACCCTTTTTAGCGTGTTAAAGGTACAGACGAGGAAAAAAAAAACAAAATTGATGAGAGAAAGCAAGAGAAAAGACAAGGCACACTTCTTCAGGGGCAAAGATGAAAGAAAGCTATCTCTGAAAAATGCACAAAGGTGAAAGCAGAGAGAAGACCTTCAAGGGGATAGATACCATGACACAGATCCCAATCACCAAAAAAACAAAGGTTATGAAGAAACACAGGATAATGGAAAAAGATCAGGGAAAAAGTTTTCGACTCACCTGCAGTGATCCATCTTCACAACCCACAGCCCAGAAATTAGAATTTCCAGCTAAAACTGTCACCTTTCCAGATATCCTATCAGACCAAAGATTTTGAGTTCCCTTGGTGCAAACAATTTCTGTATCTGTCATCACTGTTGTTTTTCCGGTCCCGAGAATATCACTAATAGCATGTTCTCTAGGATGGGCCTCCAGACAAACTGGTGAACAATCTTCCCCTTCTCTCTTGTCAAGGACCCTTATTGATAGAGTGCTTTCAGGATTTAAAGGACTTTGATGTTTGAGAAGTCCCCTCTGCTCGACATTAATGCTTCCTTCTTTCCCTGAACCCATCGGGACCTTCTCAATTATCAAGCTTTCACTTATAGTAGCCCTAGCATTTACACCAGATCGTTCCTTAAAATCAGAAGCCCCAGTATCGGCCTTCCTTAGAGATATTTCTCGCATGCTAGAGTCGGCATGTAATACTCCGTTTTCCTCCCTCCTGCGATCTGAAGGCATACCAAAATCTGGAGCTTGAGAGCCAGATATTTTGTCTTGCTGGACAGCCACTCCAACAGCTTCAGGAATTATCCTCTTGCGGCCATCAGGTCGCCTATACTCTCTTTGCTTCACAGGACTTGCAACTCGAGGTGCAGATTTGTTTAACCCTTCACCAGCAATTCCTTCACTTTTTTGCCCATCTTCGATTTGTGACTTAGAAACTATTGCTGTAAGCTCTGGATCAGGAGACGGCTTTTTGGAAGTCTGCTTATGTGATCCCTCTCGAACTACCTTTTTGCTTGAGGTTTGCTTCGCAGCAGCAGCTGCTTCAAGCTGTAGCTGAGCAGGAGTTTCAGCTAAAGTTACTTGTCGACCACGAACATCGCCATACCGACTTTTTTTCAATTCTTCAAGCTCACCATCAGTAAGCCTTTGCCCAAGTTCATTCTCATCAAAGTGAAAAGTAGCCACTGTGCCGTCCAAAGAACAGGCAAATAAAGAATATCCATCTGGACTCCTGCAATAAGATGAACCATTCAACACTAACAGACAAGTACGACAAGAAAAATGCAAACACAAAGCCAAAAATTTTTGAATCGTGAAGAATTGTGGACATAAAAGAATACTTACCATGATAGATCTACAACACTTTGAGAAAAGAAATGCTTTGCCACAAACAGAGGTCGGGGGCTTGCCGTTGTCCACACAGTAATGGTGCGATCCTGGCTCCCTATTGCAATCACATTATACGGCTGAGAATCTTTCCCTCCCTTGGCAGAACCATTAGCCCATCCAAGAGATGCAACTTTCAAATCCTGAGCATTTGACGTATTTCGTTTGAACATTGAATGATTAAACTTCACCACAATAATGGGAGCGTTGTGGCCTAAGAAGTCAAACGTAGCAGACCACTCCCCCCGCTCGAGAACAGGGGCAGAATGCCTAGGCTTCTGAAAACCATGGGTGGTGGTGATGAAGTGACCACAAGGTGACCAACCAAGCCGCCTAAAAAAGGTCGATCCCAACTGAAAGGCGAAAAAGAGGAAAGGTTTATTTGTCCATGCCTAAAAATTTGGAGACTCATAGCAACATATAACTGAAAACTTGAATAAAATTTAGTACTAGCTGAATGAAAAGGATGAAACTAAAAAGAAAAGAAAAAACAAAGCATTACAACTTTCATCATTACGAACAACACTTAATTGCCAAAAACATAACATTCAGGAGAAATTTCATCCTTAAAGAAAAGAAAGGTTTGCCTGATGCGGGCGGAAGCATGAAAAGAAGGAATACCACTTTGATTCATGATCACCATGAACAAAGGCAATGGTTTTTAGACAAAAACCAATAAAAACCATAACACAGGCACTCAGCCATGAAAAGAGAACTCGCAGTTCTGAAACTTAATTATCAAATATCATTAAAACTGTCCCCAAACGTACAATTAACTCCTATTTATAATAAAACCCTAACCTTAAAAAAGGAAAATATCTAAAAAGACTTAAAATTCTGTAAAAGACTAAAACCTCCCTAAATTAAAATTTCCTAATAATTCTTAAACCCTAATTCTTATTTTTTTCCTGCATCATTGCCCCATTGATTATCATACAACAAAATAGAGGACATAAAATTTTAAGACATTAGAGAGCAAATTGCGCAATCAGGAGTTACTGCCTTCCATCACAAATTAAGTCCAGTAACAGTGTGGCCCTCAGCCCTGTACACGTACTGACTGTAACTGATATGCAAAATATACCATGCAGAATGTTTCCGAACAAAATTAAATAATTTTGCTTTCAATTTTAAATGCCAATGGCAATGGAGAAACAAAAAGAACGCTGCTCTGTTTCTGCCTTCTTAAGACCATGAGATCTGAATCTAATGCATACAACTAACCCTTGTCCTAGTGCCCCACAACACATAAGAGTGCACGTGCATGCATACGTGCAAGTACATGTAAGAGTATCTATTAGAGTACAGGAATGGAAAATTACAATTAAAAATTGTATAATCTTCTGCATTCACACAACATAGTAAGAAAATGTGAAAAGGAGAGTCAGAAACATACTGATTTGGCCCAATGACCATCAGTTCTATGAGCAAGACTCCAGTCACTTGTTCGCCAAATAATGACAGTTTTATCATCTGATTGACTAGCTATGAAAGAACCAATGGGGTCCCAAGCAACTCCTTTGACAAGACTAGCGTGACCCCTGAGAACAGCAGTACAGATACCATTGCTCATATCCCAGATATGAATAGTATTATCCAGGCTCCCACTAGCCAACATGGAGTCATCTGGAGACCAATTAAGATCCACCTACTTCAAGCAGGGAATAAATCAGCTCCTTGGTTAGACGGTACATGATAATTGATGAAAAGAATAAATATAATTAGCAGGCCAGCAAATAGGATTGAAGAGTTCCAGGACATGAAATGAAGACACAAGGAAAGCAGTTAAAGTATCTCATTAATTGTCATTATCACGCATGAGTCAAGGGTCATCCATATTCTATGCACAGAAACTTTAAACGAAATGTTTCGGATATTACCACATCAGCAGTGTGTCCCCTCAAAGTCATGGCGACTTTCCAGTTCTCGATATCAGGCGGTTCTCCACTACCAAACTCAGTAGTTCCTGAACCTGGCTTTCGCTCATGGATCAAAATAACCTGATCATCAGATCCAGATGCAACATATCGACCATGCTTTGCCCACCTAACACAATTCACCGAGCCAAAATGATCACGCACAGTTGCAAGCAGCTTAGGTACCGATTCATCAGTTTCTAATTCTCTACCAACAGTTTTCGAATTCCAAATTCGAACCTGCAATTGCATCCAGAATTATTAGCTCTGCAGTCATTGATCAAGGAAGAGAAAAGGCATAAAAACAAATAACCAGACATAGTTCAGCTGACCACACATTCTGTTTGAATAAACCAGTTCCAACATTTCATCCTAAACTCATGCTAGCAAGGATGGGAAAAACATTGGAACTAACTGTTATATCAAATAAAGTATCCAAAAGCTGAAAGAAGACACATCGACCATAAGTAACACAATCATAAGTCCAACAGTAAGATGAAATAGTCATTACTTATTTTATTATCCAACAACAAAGTAGCTACATGTGTAACCCATGTCATATCCATCTATTCTAGAAGTTCATTAACTTAATAGCTTCATATGTACCACAGCCCTGAAACTGAGAAATCAACTCAAAAAACTCACAAAGACTGGGCAAGAATATGTCTTACTCTGAACAGAAACAGGAAAGGACAACCAAATTATATGAATCAATTTAGATTGCTCATAGGCAATTTAATTTTCAGCAATCTACAGAGCACCTAAGAGAAAGTAAGCCTAAAACAGTTTAAACATAAAACCAGGCCATATTTAATCAGAATATTATCAGAAAACAAATTTATAATAATGCGTTGCAAAATAAATTCTTTAGTTTTACACGGGTGAACCGATTCCGAAAAACAACATCACTTGAGGTAATTCAGAAAACTACAACCTTTCCCAAGTCCACCAAACTTGTTTGCTGAAACCCAATTCCAGACATGTCTTTCATAATTAACATATCAGAATTACTCCGGAAATTTAAAGTTTTTAACTTTTCTTATAGTCCAAATTCGAAGTAGCAAACCGAAGTTTCAGCTCAAACCATAGACAAACTTTTCCTATAGTCCAGATTCTAAGTAGCAAAACAAAGTTTCAACACAAACAATAGACAATGTACAAAAAAATTCATGGGAATAGCAAGAGATAGCAAACCTTGTGATCGCCACCACCAGTGGCAAACCTCAGCCCACCAGGCTGAACATCAATAGAAAAAATCTGCATGCCCTCATGCCTAATCCAATGCGGTTTCTCTGCTATCATATTCGTTTCCCGAAGCTCAAACAAACAAAAAAAGATTCGATCTTTCCTCTGTGCCTCTGTAAAACCTCAACTCCTACGTACAGGGAAATCAAAGTTCACGCCTTTTTCACAAAACCCACCTGCAAAAGCGCACCATGGGTTCAAACCAAATTCCACAACAAGAATAAAAGGAAGCAAAAACCCTACTTCTGAATTCTAAATCCAACAAACCCGAATTGCGCCCCACCCAGGTGAAAAGGAGAAGCCAGAATCCAGTCAATTGGCAAAAACCCAGACAGTTACCAGAGAGGGAAAGGATGCGGACACATTCTATGAGAGTGATGTAAGAAGAACCCTAGATAATGTGGCGGTTAGCAGAGTACAGAATCTGAGGTTTTCCGGTAAGGAGGACGTTTAAGATTTCTTTTCTGTTGTGTCAGAATTTGGAAAGAAGGTTTAGAATTTTATTTTACTTTAATGGATAATTGTTACGTTTTTATGGGCCAAATAGTAAAGCCACAAATACAAAAATCAAATAAGAATACCAAATAAATAAAGGAATCGGATGCGTTTGTACTTGAGTAAATGTTGTATTTGTAATTTGTGTGACCACTTCATGGATTTTCTTTGTAGGAAACATACGGTATATTTATCTTTTTTTTTATCTAAGTTATTTCACTTTTGTTTTAACACCAAGAAGTTCACCTGATTATCGGAAATGAATAAATCCATGCCCATTGTAATGGCAGGAACCTCACTACTTTCATAGATCACTACAAGAGTGTAACTAGCTTAGATACGAATTAGGAGATTCATGAATGAATTAGCCATAACAAGTCTGTAGAAGTAAGGGTAAAGTCATCTGTCATTCTTGTTGGAGTGAGAAAATCAAATCATAACCTCCTATTGAGAACAAAAGTGGTTATGCTACTGAACTAACAAATCATTCATTATTTCATATTTTTTATATGCAATGTTGTTTAATTATTCGTTAATTTTATTTTATCTTGCCACTTTAACTTTAAAGTAGAGTTTTTAATTCGTACAATCGTTCAAGAAGGGTTTTTAAGATTATTTTATCACATGTCACCATTCTATTCGTCTTTCACTAAAGTTAAAAAAAAAAATAATTGTAACTGTATTAGATTAAATTTGTGCCCATGTTTCGATGTGAAAGTTATTTGCTATATTTCATCAGATCAAATATTAATATTGACATTAATTTAGTCAACTATTCATTCAGCCAGAGAAATGCAGATTCTGATCTTGTAATTTAAAGCAGAGTGTTTGTCGATCTTATTCACATAACTATTCGTAAAATTGAAACGCTAATTATTATGATTTCATTTTAATTTCCATTTTATATAAAAAAGACTAGTATATATCTCGTTATTACTTGATTAAGATTAGTTTTGTTAGATTATCTAAATATATTTTATTACTTAAGATTAATTCTGTTAGAATATTTAAATATATTTTATTAATTTTTTCTTCTGGTGAAAAAGTAAGGACATAGAGAAATTATTTACAATTGCAAGTTAAGTGTAATTTGAGATGATATTTTTTTAATTTTTATTTTATTAACAAAAACTAAAGATAGGTACATTTTGTTGTCCTATGAAAATTGCACCCAAGGATTCCTCGAAAAGTTCCCCAAGAAAATTTTTTTTTCTGTGAAAAAATAAAGAATCAACAAAATTGACAATATAGATGATCATCAGCTTTTATTCGCACTCTACTTCTTTTTCTCCTCAATCTAGAATCGAAAACTAATGCAGGCAAAGCAAAGTTTTACATACATACTTTTTGTTTTGTTGCAATTATTTTTGAACAAAAACTATAATCTTTTTATTTTTTTTTAAAAAAATAGATATTGGGAGAGAGAAGGAATGAATAAGTAGTAAACCAATTGGCAGCTAGTTAAACTAGTATGAAGCCTAACTGATCTGGATGATCATCATAAGTCAAATGGTGTTAAAATGCTACTATTTTGGCCATATCTATAGTATATATTATACTAAGAGAGAAACCGCAGAGAGAAAATTAAACTTCTCATCCTGTTGACACATAGGACAAAATCTTATGTGTCATTTCCTTATAGGTTGTCACAAAAAATATTTATAATAATTACACTAACAGTCTTTTAAATTTTCAGTTAATAAATTATCATCAATTCTTAATTAAAGTATATCAATTAATTGTGTGGTAAACTTTCTATTTTACATTCCCTAAAATGAAAAAGAAAACGGAAAATTTTTAAAATCTCAACATTAAATAAGATTGATTTGAAAAAGATTACTCGTGGCTGGAATAATAATATTACGTCTTGATTTAATCATTAAATAATATTAATGATTATTTAAAATTCAAAAATAATAAATACAAAATCATCAATGATTCTTTAATTCAACATTAAAGCTGATTGATTTGAAAAAATTTTCTGATTGGCTTGAAAATGCCATTAATATTGGTTTGATCATTAAACAGTATTAATGCTTTTTTGAAATTCGAAAATAATAAATACAAAATCATCAGTGATCTTTAATTCAACATTAAAACTGATTGATTTGAAAATATTTTCCAACTGGATTGAATAATACCATTACATATTGGTTTGATCATTAAATAATATTAATATTATTTTGAAATTTGAAATAATTAAAAAATTGTAAATAATATTTTTTAGAGATATATCATCTGTCATAATTGCATACACGAATATCTATTTACTTTATTTTAACAAAATGAAATATAAACATATGCCTATAATCACTCCAATCGCATTAATCATGTGACTTAAATTATTATGTATATATAAAGTGTGCTTATAAAACTCAATTAGGTTGCAATCTCAGTTTATACCGGAATCTTTTCTTCTTTTTCTTCTCTCTTTTTTTTTAGGATTTATGTTTTTCTTTTTAATAATTATTATTTTTTTGTGTCAAAAGTTTTTCGCTTCTAACTTTTGGAAATTATGGGCAAATATTTTCTGCAGCAAGGATTTTCGAATGCACATCACGGTGAGTTTCTTTGCCAATCTTAATTTATGATTTCAATGTTTGATATTTTCTTAGGGAAAACATGGCGAAATATATGTTGATGATTCACAAAAATGAAATATATTTAACACGTAGATCAATATATGGATCTATTTATTTTCTTCTGTAAATAAGTAGCGTATAAAAATTACTTTTAATGTAAGATTATTTAACTTAGTGTTTTTATATTATATATCAATTTACTAAAATATAAAATATTTTTTTAATTTTTATTATGTTTGATTATATATATAATTTATCTATCCCGCACATCGTGCGGGTACTATCTAGTTGTATTATATATAGGAAAATCTAGGGCCCCGTCACTAATTTTGAGGGTGTAGTCACATTAAAATTTAACCAATAAAAAAATGATACATTAGTATAACATTAAATTTGTCTAATTTTTAAATTTTTTATGGCCTGTTAAGCAGTCAAACTTACCATAATATCAGGTAAACTTACCAAAATTTCAAAAAATGAATAATTTAGGAAAGTTTCAACATTTAAAACAACAAAATCATAAGTAATTAATAGTAAAAAAAATTTCTTACTATATATATTGCACAAATACTTACTTCTATTGCACATTATTTTATAAAACATTGCACCTAACTCGATAATTAAATGCACCATCTTTTATGTATTTATTTATTTTTATAGTAAGTTAAAAATAAATATCAAAGTATTGCACTTTTGAAAATGCTATTACACACTAAATAAAAGTACATTTCACATTCACTTTCAAACAATTACACTATATTAAAACTTACCATAATTCTTTATTAATATTTCTTAATTTATTTTTACATTGTAAAAAAATCTATATGTGATTGTACATTTACTCATTAAAAATTGCACCCAAATTTATATATGATTGCACATTGGCTAATAAAATATTGCACCTTCTCTTATATAAGTAGTTTAGTAATTTCATTTTTTCTAGTTTAGAACATTGCTTATGAACCTTACTGACCGATAACTTATCTATTATATTGAATAGTAGAGTTTTATTTACAACTTTTGTTTTGAATTTTTGAGCATAATGTATATTTTTAAGCATTGCACATTTGCGTGTATGTTTTTGCACATTGAATAAAAATAGATTGGCTACATATTTTGTGTTGTCTTGTTAAACCTATATTTTTTGTCCACCTGTGATGAAATGCAAATATACTATAATGAAAGTACGCGTCCTAGTTTTAAGAGTGAGGAGAACGAATAAGAGTTAACCATTTAGAATTATTATTATGTAGATTTAGTAAGATTTAAGTATTTTCATTTTATTTTTTTCTTAATGTTATAATAAAGTACAATCTCTAAGTCATGAACGGCTAGCTCCCTCCTCAAAATTGAGTCTCTGAGTACTCCAACAATCCTAATCAAATAATTCAACGAGATAATTAAATTGTAATAATTAATTAGGTTCTGGACCCGTGTTTTCTCACAAGTTGGTTTTTGAACTAATATCTATTGTTTTGATTAACAAATTTTGAATAAAGGGAATGAAAAGATAATGTAATTTTGTATGTAAATATAATTATTTTGGGGTCGTTCGGCCAAAAAAATTTAAAAGAATTGATGTGGACAAAAAAAATTTTACTTTAATTTTGGTGGACATAAGTAGTTGTCTCGGATTTGGCAAATCCGAAAGTTTAATTAATTGGACTTTCAGATTTGGCTAATCTTAAACAATAAAAAATAATAAAATATTATTTTTTTTTATTATTTTGAATAAAAGAAACCGAGGTCAAAATATGTACAGTAAACTCAGATTTCCAAAACCCGAGAGCTTCTCCAACATAATTTTTTTAAAAAAAAAAAACTGAAGGGTGAGAAAATTTGAAATTTTATTTGTGGTGGGAAAGATTGAAAATTTCATAAATGAATAGTGAAATCAGATTGGGAAATCCGAAATACCTTTAAAGAAAAACCTTTTAGTGCAAAAAACTTTGAAATTTTGAGTTTTGATAGGAATTTGCATTAAATTGACATATTCACTTTAAAAAAATAAAAAATAAAAAATACTGTTATAAATATCATATTAATAAAAATCTTTAATTACTAATAATTACTAGGAATTTACATTAAATTTATGAAAAATATATTACCAATGTTTCATAGTATTATTAAATCTGATAGGAATTTGAATTAAATTAATTTAGTATAATTGATGAAAAATATATATTACTACTGTTACATAGTGTTATGTACTATCTGTACGTACGAGTATTATGTAGTATATTAATACTATTACCCACTATACATCACTGGTACTAGTATTACTTATTACTGTTAAATCTGTTAGTCATTAGATATTATCATTAATTCAATATAATTCATATGTACTAATGTTATGTACTTTTTATACGTACTAGTATTATTGGTACATTAATAACTATTACCCACTATACATTATTAGTACTAGTGTAATTTATTACTGTTAAATCTGTTAGTCATTA